GATCACCTCGCTCAGAGAGGGCACCTGCACCTATATTGACAATCGTAGGTGCCACGCCTGCGCCTTGGCTGGATGCACGAGGGCGGCTTTGTGGCACCTCGAGGAAATTATTCACCTCAATGGGCGGCTCGTAGGTACGGCGACCTCGTCCTCCATATTCGCTGCCTGCGACACTGTGGACTGGCATCAACACATATTCCCGGTCAGACCCCGACGAGCGCCGGGAGTAGGGCATAATGGTTTCGATGATTGTAGCCGTACTGCCGTAGTACCCCTCCAACTACTAGCGCACTTTCAGCCCTGGCACAAGAGGCACGGATCAGATCGTAGGAGCGGTGGCGGTGGGGTAAACGCCCGATTGCTGATGGATATCCGGGGCGCAACGGTCACAACGGTGAATAGTTGGAAGGATAACGTCCAAACCACTAAACAAACTTTCGATCTGGTGATATCGGTGTCGATCTTGTTCACTGGGGAGTTGTGAGGAGAAGAGAAGAAGAAAATTCAGTCACGGTAATTCAGCTCTGTGGTGGGGAGGCTGCTCGCTTTTATCGTTTTCGTGCAGCAAGCCAGTGCGGCCAATTTGAGCCTGGATCGCAACCCACAAAACAAAACTTGGGGGCCGGGAGGACTAAAAAGGTCGACTGTCATGTATGGTATGCTGGCGATAGCTGAGTCAATCGAAACCCCGGTCGATCCAATGATCGCCTGTCAAACGAAATTTCAGGTTCGTAACGCCATGGCACTTTTGTCTGAAACAAATCACGAGGTCGTACCGCCAGGCCTCTTGTGCGCAATAGGTCTGAGATTTGTTTGAGCAGTCTCCTGGACACCAAGGCCGCCTGATGGCTATACGAATACCTGACGATCTGAAAAACGGAGGATATCTATGCTAAGTATATCGATTGCATAAAAGGTTGGTGTCAATTTCCACCCCTAGGTCAAACCAATCTGGCGGCAATGGACCGCCGTGGTTTGGTGGGCCCATGGAGGCCTGAATGCACGTCTGCTCAAGCCTGCGTCATTTGACATGCTTAGGTTTGGTGTAAAAGGTGGTCTTTTGCTTGCTCGTCTTGAGGCCCGACAGGTGCCAGGAGCATCCGATATTACGAGCAGTCCCCGTGGCGCATGGACGAGTAAAGCAGCAGTTGACTCTCCACATCTTGTCAGAGTTGCCACTGTCGCCTCGGGCATATTCAGGCATGTTCGCTGGGGAATGGCGGGCGTATCCCGTTGGCCAGCAGTGGTGTTGGTCTTTTAGCTATTATGTCAGCGACATGCTTGTAGGCGTGATCCGTTGCCAGGATCCTGTAGAAGATGCGTATGTTTATGACAAAATCATCCCTCTAGCGGCAAGATATCCAGATATCGGCGATCAGCATGAGTAGCAATCACACCGATGGAGAGTTATTCTTGAACCAGGATATTGGCGCAAGAATTCGTCTCGTGATGTTTTCGTGCTTGTCTGAAAGCTACAGGCTCGAGCGACATTGCCAATGTATTCAGGTGAATTCAAGACCACATCGTCCCGGAAATGACGCAAAGGAGAATGCCGGAGTGCAGCTCGATCCAGGAATGTCCTCCTCGTGCAGCAGATGTGTTGGCATTGGAGCAATCTAGCCTGTGTTGAAATCCACACGCTCTTCAATCGAAAGGGCCCATCACGATCGACCACCAGTCTGTAAGATCTTCTCAATGTGCTGTCGACTGTTCTTGTATGTAGTCTCTTGGTAATGTAATTTCTTCTCCAGATCCGTGATGTCCTTGCTCAGAGATGCTGCCTCGGAAGCCAAGCGCTTGTTCAGAGTCGACGGAGGAATGGCGATGAACCTGAGAGCCAGAAATGTCAGAGAGAAAGCGCAGGCCGTTGGAAGGAATTTCATACATTTTCCCAACCCCTTCATAGACATTTGTGTCTTGTGACAAAGATTTCAGCTCATTGGCCGTCAGTTGGTTGAGTCGAGCATCTCTCCGTTTGGCACTCAATTCTGCCTGCGTTTGCGTGATCTTTTGTTGGGAAAGCAGTGCTTGAGTCTCGACTTCTTGAAGCAACTGCTAGTGGTGAGTAGAGATGGACGATTCGGTGAAGAGGGGTCAGACCTTTTGCAACGCAGCGTTGGGAATGGCCATCTTGGATGAGTACAACGTGATAGCCAGTGGAAGATGATGTACAGTTTTTGAGCCTCAGTTTGACTAGATTGGAAGATTACAACATCCGCACTTCAGGGTTACCGTTCTAGGCAACTTGGAGTACACGCGCCCAGCCAACGCCCACAAGCATTCGAGGGGTACCAAGGGCCCAGGTAACTACCGAGGGGCTACTTAGACCCGATGCAGACGTCGGCTTTCCGAAGTTTAGGTGGCGAGGGGTTGGCTGCGATCGCCCCCGGGGGTCTTGAGCCGTTCAGGACCTGGACTTCCAGGCATTGCTTCACGTGTCAGGGCACCAAATGATCTGCCTGAGGCTTCCTCCTTAGGCCCTTTAGCTACCTAGCTAAGCTCTAGTTAAGCTGCATCGGGCCCGGCGACGTCATTTGGGTGTCATTTGCCCGCTTGCGAGATAAACAAGTTTATCACCGCAGCTCCACCGCGAACGTTTTTGTGCGTTGTAAGCCCTCGCTTTACTCAACTGCGAAACCCACCTTTTCCATCCGCATCCGTAGCCACCATTAATTCCCTGACTGAGGACCGGAGCCTCTTATAATCCTGGGAACTACCTCCTGGTCGCTATGTTTTCGACTTAACTCCCAGGCTCGAAACGACCGAAAATCTGTACAGCATCTGTCTCGTTACCAGAATGCCCGCATGGCTTCCCTCCATCCCATATCCCCCGCCAGGCCAGCCGGGGTACTGGCATCCCGTCACGAGCACTTTACAGTGGTGTGAAGAGGTACGGCGGACGCTATTCTCTTGAATTACTGAGTTGTCGAGGCTGACACGAGAAGGATTATTACGCCACGTACTACTCCGCCGAGATCATCAACACTCTAACCAACCTCATGTTTATCTACCTGGCATACAAGGGAGTTCAGAGCTGCAGAAAACATGGACACGATACCGTATTTCAAGTGGCATATTTTGGATATTTCCTGGTTGGATTTGGCAGTTTCATGTTTCACACCACCTTGAAATGTGAGTCGGTGCATGCAAAGATCAAGTACATCCCCCCTCTTCGATCGCTTGATCTGACCCAACCTTGATTCCCAGATCCGTGGCAGTTGGTCGACGAGCTCAACATGATATACACTACTTGCCTCATGGCCTTTGCTTCCCTGTCCTACTCGCAACCTAGACAGATACAAGTCTATCTCGGCGTCTTCTTAGTGCTATTCTGCGCCTTTATTACTGCCTACTACCATTACCTCCAAGACCCCGCCTTTCACCAGATTGTCTACGCCTTGTTGACCGTCTTTATCGTCGTGCGCAGTGTCTACAGCATGGAAACGAGTCTGCGACCGTCGTTGAGGAAATCCGAAGAAAAGCACCGTCTGGAACGAGAGAGGTTAGGCCTCTCGGTGGACGTTTCAAGAGAACAACAAGAATATGAGAATAAAAGAGACCTGGAAATCCTAAGAACCATGTGGTGCTTGGTGGCGTTTGGGGTGAGCGTCTTCCTTGGCGGCTTCTACATCTGGAATCTGGACAATCAGTACTGTTCCACGCTGATACGTTGGAGGCGTAGTATCGGCATGCCGTGGGGTTTCTTCCTCGAGGGACATGGCTGGTGGCATCTCATGACCGGCATTGGCGCTTATTGCTATATTGTGTGGGGCATACACCTTCGACACATTCTGAACGGAGATCAAGAGCACTTCCAGATGGTCTGGCCCAGCATTTTCACGCTGCCAGAAATCGTGCGAGTATCAGATCCGCCGGAGAAGGAGAGCAACAAAGTAAACGGTGCTGCTACTGCCAACGGGAGTGTCCATGAAGCTGCCAACGGAAATGTAAATGGGAGTGCAAATGGCTACAGCAAAAAGACTAAATGATGTATATGAACATATCAAGACACGCAATGGATGAGCTGAGCTGTTGACTTGGATTCCGAGAGGATCCATCTTCGCTCTTTCTTCCACCCACCCTTCTCCCTCCCCTCGTTTCTGAATAGTGAAGTGCCGGCGATGTGCTGCTGTGTAGGACCCTTCGACCGGAATCCTCGGATGCGGCTTGACGAAAGACACAAGCACCTTGACCTCATTTCCCCGTGCGTATGTTGTGTCCGTGCCGTGGGATACATACTCGGTACATACATACATACCTATGCACAACTTTACGCCAACCTAGAGCGAAGAGGGAAACCCCACAAGTGCCCACGTCCCGATCTCCGAACGAACCAAAGCAGCGCGAGGCTGGTCTGTGCCCTATCAAGACGTAACAAATACTCGCGCTTGAACAACCCCGAACCGTGACCATTAAGGTTCTTTACTATTTCTATCTACAAAGACAAGGACTAGCAAAGGGGGGTCAACTTTGGGACAGAGATGTGCGAAGGCGTCTGCTATGGAATATACTCCCGTTGTCTTCCCTGGGCCAACATTGCACAATTCCAATCTACTCCCCGATTTGGCTTCTGGGAAGTCCACGAGTCGAGAGTCTCATCTGGTCTTATTCTAATCTAGTGAGACGCTGTATCCAAAAAAAGGAAGAAAGAGAAGAAGAAGACGAACGGAATAGGTGAGGAGGGGCTCTAGCAGAATAATTTTGTTGTTCGATTGCGCCTGGTCTTATTGGTCCTGTATGACCCCTTTCTTAGACGACACGAAAGCTGTCGATATATTACGAATGGCAAACCCCTTTCCATCTATCACCCCCGTATTTTGCGATTTCGGGAATAAAATAGAATGCCGCCTAGTGTCCACAGCCCCGAAAGGCAAGCTCCTCTCGATTTCCTAGTATAGAAAAGGTACAAAAGGTGAAACGAGGTACTATACCTCGTATACCCAGACTCGTCATCTCAGAAGAAAGAAAGTGAATCGTCAGAGCGTCTTGTCTCTATGGTATCAAAATGCCCTCGCATACACGGCGATCGAGATATGAGACTTGCCGCAAAGGCCCACGCTCTGCCCGTAGCACGGAACGCAGTTGGACAGCAGCGTGACGGTGCCGGTGATGGCCGCGCCGCAGTAACAGTCGGCGGTGGCCCCGGAGGCGGCACTGATGGTGCCGAAAAAGTTGGCGCCGTTCTTGGTGATGCAGATGCGGGCGCACTGCGCGTCGATGTTGGCCGTTGCGCTGCCCGTCAGCGTCGCGTTGAAGCCGCCGTTGGTGCTCGGGCTGTCGAATCCGTAGTTCCCCAGCGTGACGCACGTGCCCGCCGAGTTGCACCCCTGCGCCCAGCAGCCCAGGTAGGCGAATTGGATCGAGTCTGCACCCTTTGGCCCTGTTGCGCCTGTCGCCCCGGCAGGGCCTGATGGTCCTGAAGGTCCAGATGGACCCGCGGGTCCGGTTGGCCCCGTTGCACCAGTGACACCTGTAGCTCCGGTAGGACCAGCAGGTCCGGCTGGGCCAGATGGACCAGAGGGCCCTTGAGCACCGGTGGCACCTGTTGCTCCTACGAGAAGATCCGTGAGTGACGGTCAAGAAGAGGGTGGAGGGTTTTTTAAGCATGTCGTTAAGACGTTGTCTCCGAGTGACTTACCAGTAGCTCCGGTCGGACCTGGGACACCCTGGTCTCCCTGTACTCCTAAACATTGAAGTATCCGTCAGTGTGTGTTCTTTCGAAATATCTCGGGTGAACACTATAGGTTCGGAATGGGCCTCGTTCATGTGACATTTTCCACTCGCGAGGCCCCTTCGCAAGATCAAAACCGAACTCCTCCGTATGTAGCAGAATTGGACTCGGTCTTGTGCGGATTTGTCGAAAACGGGACTTGCATGATCTTGGCGGTTGGTAGTCGTACCTTGTAATCCTTGAACCCCTTGTACTCCTTGCGCGCCTGAACAGATATTGTTAGTTCATGTGGCCCCGAACACGCTTGAAATGCGCGAAAGATGACTGCTTGCGTACCAGTTGCGCCTGTGGGACCTGTCGGGCCCGAAGGGCTAAAGACGACTCAAAATCAGTATGAGAACACTCGGTACATCAAGGATAGCTGGGAGGTCGAGCGTCGCCGACATTGCAGAGCTACCTCGGTCGAAGCAAGACTTTGCGAGACCCAAGCACGGAACGAAAGTCGACAACATTCCACTTACCCGGACGGCCCTACAGACTGTCAGCATCTGAAGTGTAGCTGGTATGTTCGAGACTTACCTGATGGTCCGCTTAGTTGTGGAGCTCCCACAGCTGCAGCGCAGCTACTGACTCGTGTCATGCTCAGGCTTACAAAAAGACAATCGGATGGCGCCACCAATGGGTCGCTAAAGACGGCCACAATGGTATTGTCAGGAAGGACACAAAATCTTGCCCTGTTGTTGTAAAACGTGGCATTACTCCACATGAGGTTGTTTTGGGTGTCGACTGAAAAGGCAGTGGTGATGTCTCCGGGGCTCGCACTGGCTGTGAAATTTGCATATGTTGTTCCAGAAGTGATACCGAATTGCAAGGCTCCGGCACTGGAGTTCGCAAACAGCTGCCCATTGACCAGATTGTAGACCACGGCATTCTGGCAGCTATCTGTAGCCTGTCCGGTTCCGCCGAGGAATACGTTTCCCTGGCGCTTTCTGAAGCGATCATTACCCTGAGATTGGAGCACCATCATAGATAGCATGAATGAATAACTCTCCACGTAGGAGAAAGAGGGTGATGAGTGGCTTAGGCAGTCAGTCGGCGTTGGAGGTTAAGGAATTAAATACTTACGTGGTATGTGCTAAAGGGAGTTGGAAAATTTGGTTCGACTGTGTTATGAACATGGAGCTTGTGCCTGTGTATATAGTGTTGATGCTTGTGGGAGCGTTGGTGATGTCCAGCGTCAGATAGTCATAGACCTTTAGAGTAGTGTTTGCGTAAAAATAATAATCAATGCGTATCTATGAAACTCCTTTAGCAACTGGGAAAAGATTATCTCGAACTTACTCACAGGGACCAAAACCAGAACTTTTGTGACAACCACTTCAACCGAGCAGTTCTGGTCTGCTCGCCGTAGCACATTTCGGGGAATAGGCTGCGTTGACTTCTTCACGATTCTGTTCTCCACAACACTGGGAATATAAGTTGCGGAAGTATTTCTGGTTAGTAAAGAAAGCAAAGTCAAGACCCAGACAGCGATAATCTCCAGCAGAAGCATTGTGGATGGATGCAAAGCCTCGCTCAAGGGCAAATGAATGACTGAAATGAATGACTAAAAGATACAACTGCTAGGGAGGGAACAAGCGCAGATAGAAGAACCTGATATAAGAGCTGGATATATTCGGCAGGATACCAACAAACGGCCTGACGAGGGCTGGAGCCTCGCGGACCGGACAACCCAAATGCATGCTAAATGAAGAATGGAACCATGGTCAATGCTGCGGTCATCATCATTCACTTCGACTCTACCAGAGCCTAGAGGGATCTTCATCCGATCATCACCCTCCCATATTGCGTTGAAAGCCGGAATGCTTGTGTTGCGGGAGGAACGCGCATTGAGCAGGCGGCACGCGCCACCCACCGAAAGTATGATAGATGAAACTGAGCAGCGACCTGCCCCTCAGCATCCCATAGACAAGCTGCAGCCTTCTCGTGAGATTGTAAAATGGTATGAAGGTCAGCCCTGGTGGCGAGTGTAGTTGAGAGAAGAACAAAATGCGGGAGGCGGAGAGTTCAAAGAGCGTGACTGGCTTGGCGCGTCTTCCTGCGTCTTGGCGCTCCACTGCCTGATGCCATCCATTGACATGTACAAGTAACTCGGATACGCCTGAGCTGCACCCCTTCAGTAGTGCCAATAGACAGAGCCGCTGTTCCTCTGACAGGGGAAGCAATGGCGCCGTGAGCTCAGCAAGACCACATTTCTATGCCACTTCACCTCGTCCGTATCACCCACTTCCCAAACATAGTCCCAGTTTACTGTCTTCACTATCTCAGTCGACCTTCCCGCCACAGTTTGTACCTTTGAGACTTCTGAGGCACAATCGACTGGCACATCCCCAATGGCCGGGCCTCCATCAAACCCAGCTACCTCTTCGAACTTCCTCTCTACGCGTCGAGCCCTCTTCGACACCCTCGCCTCTTTCCTGACTGTGGCAACTCATCACATCCTCTATCTACGTCGAATCTATCCACCGCTTTCATTTCTCGCTGCCAGGGCATATAACTGTTCCGTTCGCCAGAATCGTCATCCTGCAGTCTGTACGTGGGTCAACGACGCCGTCGCTGCAGTCCGTGATCAACTCGACAAGAACACTGTCGAAAAGGTTTTGCTGTGCATCTATGAATGTGATAGCAACCGTGTCCTCGAACGCTGGACATTTGACCTCGGATCTTTTTCTTCGACTGGTCTAGATGCCTCCAATATCCATCTCGAGTCCACCCCGCCCGATGATGGCGACCTGCTGAGTGACCAAGTCAACCTGGCCGATCTAGAAGCCAACTTTCGCGCTACCTTGTCTCGGATTAGCACATCGGCAGCCCGACTTAGACCCCTCCCTGAGGGCCCTGGCGCTCCTGAATGCAGCTTCACACTAGCTATTGAGGTCAAGGACAGGGCTGATCGTCCCGTAGGGCGAATCGAGAAGGAAGAGCGCAAGTGGATCGCGGCAGAACCACAGCCAAACTCGTCGTCTTCGAACCCAGGATCGGCAAAAGATGAAAGAGGATTGACCACTACGTCCCCACGAACGCATGCAGTTCGCCGTGTTGAGGTAGGAGAGCTGCAAATGGAAGTCTGGGTGGAAGAAGCAGCGGCCAAATTTGAGTTTTCCCTCCCCTCAACGTCGTCCGGATCATCGTTACCTCCAGAACAAAGAGCAGCAAATATGTCCTACGGTGCAGGAAAAGAGAAGTTTGATCCAGAGAACATGTATGCCTACGATCTCGAGCCACCGGACGTCAACCGCAAACCGCAAGGGGGAGCCACGACAGACTATCAACGAGGTTGAGTCACGCTATCGCTGGCATCTCATCACGCAGTTTAATGCGGGAACTCAGTCTGTGTGAGAATAGTCACAATTGTCGAGGGTTGAAATCAATGCAACCAGACATAGTCGTCGCAGGAGATGATGGCAGAGTTCCTACGAACTAGTCCCTCACCATTGCTCTAACTGGATCGGCGAGGCATTTCACATTGAGCTCACTCAGGAATGATATCTCAGGCGCCACCACTCTCCATCAACTTACAGTATATGGCTGCGCAGTATGATGGGGCCGATGCGCCATGAAATCGCCAAAGATGGTGTCACACTCTCTATATCCACTCCTCGAGACCTACTCCTGTTCGACATCAAACGGATTTGCGAGTATATGATCCAGGCTTCAATGCCGGTGACACAGTCTACAGGGCCTCAACCGCTACATGCCACGCGTTTATGTCTCTGTAGCCAGAGCTAAAGGCTGATGCCATAAGATTGCTCGGCTACAGATACCCAGGAGCAGGTTGATGATCAGTGCAAACGTTGGCCTTCTAAAGTTGGGTGTTGGCGGCGAGGGACAAACTAATGAGTTATCCTCCTTGGAAACAACACCCCCCTTTGCAAACCGCTTGTGGTCTTGTGTTGGGTCACAGGAACTATCCCGTTTGCTTTGGACAACAGGTGTTTTGTTCAGACGACCTTTTACCGATATAAAGCCCTCGACAAAGCGCGACAACAATGGCACCTCTTTCATTATCACTATATCACACATTATCATGTGCCCCATTCCTTTGGACTGCCTTGTGACAATGATAACCCTTTGTTTGCCTTTGCAGCCTTTATATGCTAAAGGTATGTTGCAGTTCTTTTTACCTCTCCAAAGACCAACATTGCTGAGATCACCTTCAGCTACTTTCAAACCGCACATACAACCTATCACCGTTGCTTAATCAACTATCGGCGCTCCTATCAACTCTACCCTTCCACCGAATTCACAACACAATGTCGCTCACTGTACCTGGGCTCGTGGGACTCTTCGTCGGAGTTTCTCAAGCTCTGCAGTATCAAATCTCCCAAAACTACTCCGGCTCCGACTTTTTCGATCACTTCGACTTCTTCTCAGACCCCGATCCAACACATGGCTTTGTGAAGTACCAGGATTTGGCTGGAGCTAATAATACTGGATTGGCAGGGTTCGCCTCGAACGACGTTTTCCAGAATGTGGTTTATCTAGGAGTCGACTCGTCCAGCGTTGCCCCAGGCGGCAGGCAGTCCACCCGCATAGAATCCAAGGAAGTCTTCAACCAATCCTTGCATATCGCCGATATTAGACATATGCCAGGAGGCATCTGCGGGTCATGGCCGGCATACTGGCTAGTAGGGCCACAGTGGCCAGATAACGGGGAGATTGACATCCTGGAAGGAATCTCACTTCAACCCGTCAACAAGATGGTCCTTCATACGAAAGCCCACTTGATGGTCTCCAACATCTCAGACCCCAGTGTTGCGAATGCCACCGGAATGCAAATGCAAGGCACTTTTACCAGCCTTGATTGCAGTACTGACATCACCGGAAACCCCGGCTGCGCGGCGTCAGGCACCAACAACTCGTTCGGCAAGGCCTTCAACGACAATGGCGGAGGTGTTGTGGCCACCGAATACGGCCCGCAGTGGATATCCATCTGGAATTTTGGGCGTGACGAGATTCCCGCCGACGCTTTCAGTGGCAGTCCCAACCCAGAGACCTGGAGAACCCCTGACGCTCACTTCATGTCCGCAGACGGTGGCCCGCTGTCTGGATACTTTTCCAACCTCAGGATCGTCATCAACACCGCTCTGTGTGGAGACTGGACGAACGGGGACTGGGCCAACTCGGAATGCGCGACATTGGCCCCGACTTGCCAGGACTATGTTGCCAATAACCCGCAAGCTTTCAAAGAGGCTTACTGGCTCATTGGAGGTATTCAGGTCTATCAGCCAGTGTCTGGCGGATCGAATATCACAGACGGTCCTTATGCAGGTGCGGCGTACCGTCGTCATGTTTCTCGCATGCATCTCCGTCAAACATCTTGACTCGACCTTATGGTTTGAGATCTGGCGAGGTGTCGATCATACGCAGACGCTAAATCAGTGCAGGCGAATGCATCGTGCAGCCTGACTTGGACAGACATATCGTCTACTCCCAGTTTGTACTTGAATAGACAAGAGAAAGAGGGGAATATATTACAGACAACCCAGACATTTTATGTACAGCGCGAGGAATACCAAGATATAGCAAGAAGAAAACCCCTTTTCCATAATGTCAAGAGTGACGAGTTATCGTTGGCCTAAACACAAAAATTTCCATGGGATCATGTACTTCGTCGATTCTCTGCACTTCTTCATAGTTTAATCCTCTAGGAGGGCAGATAATAGTTCTGGGTATTCGAATAAACTCATTAGTTTTAAGCCCTAAAATGAGCAAAAATGCTTAGGGACAATTTGGTCTAATCGCAGATACAATTACTATTACGGTGAAGTCGAGTCTTTTGTACCTCCGTACTCGGTACTCTGCACCTCACTTGTTGGGAACGTTTTTTAGATTGTTTGAAGAATTATATAACTATCGGTAAAAAATATACGCCTCGAAAGTAGAGCTCTCATCTCACCTCATGTACTCATGTACGTTTCCGTCTCAGGCGCACCGCACCCTGCTCGTCCTCTTCGTTGAGTGACAAGACCCACGCCTCGTCGTGGAACATCTGGCGCTTGAAGGACTTGTTGATCTCGCGATCGGACGTCTTTGTCGTGGCGGGGTCGCGCAGGATCTCCTCGACCTGCGGGCTCAGGACCTGGGCGTGCGCCTGCCAGACGTTGTTGATGGAGGCGTAGGCCGACTGGGCGCGGAAGCTGAGGACGCCGGACAGGGAGAGGGCGATGAAGCCGACGAGGGCGACGTGGACGACCAGGCACCCGAGCACGATGAAGAAGCCGAGCGACCGCGTCGGCTGCAGGGCCGCCACGGAAAAGCTCGCCGAGTAGTTGGACGGGACGTCCCAGTACGGCAGAAAGTGGTAGAAGCCGTCCGCCGTCACCGTGTGCAGGAGCGCCTGGAGCGCCAGGGCGGGTGACTTGGTGGTTTTCAGGACTTGCTGGAAGAGGTCGACGCGCTCTTCGCTCACGCTGCGCATGCTGCCCGCGAGCGACGGATCCTGGTAGAAAAGGACTCGGGAGATGTTCGGGGCGCTCGTCCCGCCGTAGTATGTCGAGGACCACACGCGGTAGAAGTTGAGCGTGAGCGAAAAGGGGTTCACCGTGGCCAATGAATCTTGGTCGTAGTAGCTGTTGTTCTGATACACGGCGTCGCGGTCCATGTCGAACTGGCGCTTGAGCTCGCTTTCCGAGAGTCGCAAAACGCCTCGGTCCTCCAGGGATTCACGTTCCAGGGAAGAAGCGCCGATTTGTCGCAGTCCTCCACTGAGCCCCGCCGGCTCGGGAGTCGACCTGGTGCGATTTGCCTCGATCACCATGTTTTTGGTGTCAAAGAAGCCGTCGTAGCAGATACTGGCGTCGATGGACCGTGCCTGGTGCGAGGCAGGTACGGGGACGAGATCACCGCTGGAGTCGTATTGTAGCGTCCCGTCGGGCTGAGCGGACGTAATTCGAACCCACTGGTTGCGAGGGTCGAACTGCCAATCCGTTGTTGCATTCCAGAAAATCGTCGAGAATGTAGTTGTACCAACGTCGAACGCTGTATTGGTGAAATTCAAGACGAGATAAGCATGTCCAAGTGGGATCCATGTCACAAAGGTCATGTTTTCAAATTCGCGGGCCCACCATTTTCCGTCGTATGGGCTGCCGGAAGCAATCACGTAGTACTGCAGCGATGTATTGTATGCCGGGTCGACGGCACTTAGGAGACCACCAGCATGGGAGTCGATCTGACAAACACTCGTGGACCATTGATCCGATCCTGCTCTGACGGCCGTCGGGGACACCTCGGGCACTGAACAGTTGAATGCAGTCAGGTTGCCATCTGGGGGTAGGATGAGCATTGGCCCGAGCGACTTGACGGGACGGACTGTTCCCACAAAGCTGAGATTGTTGCCTTCCCGGCTGCTCCCTAGCAAGCTCAGATCCTGGAACTCTGGTCGGATGCAGACGACGCGGGCGTCATATATCGTGGCATTCCCCCGAAATCCCAAGAGATCAGCACGACCTTGGTCGGCCGTTATGGGGAGAAATGACCGAATGACTGGGCCCGTGTCATCAATTTCGGGCTCTTTCACTGCCTCTTCAGGGCGAGAAGACTCTGCGAAGATGGGATACGACGGCTGTCCACTAAGGAATGCATCGTTGTACCTCGGTATCTCGTTCAGCCAGACCAGGCCGTATGTGTCGTTGATCAAGCCCAGTGAGCTGGCGGTTATATTGAAGGATGTCGGGATTGAGGCCGCAGACAGATCCGAGAGCAGCAGTGTAGAGCTGAACTGGGATAGCAGAGTGGTGCATCCAAGCAGGGAGGTAAGAGCGACGAGGACGAGAGGGATTTCCAGGTGGCGCCATTTCTGAGCTACGAGTATCGCAATATCCCATGGACCCGAGTTGAGATACCGCATGGTGGAGAGCTGGAGGATGCTCGAAAGGGGAGCTCCTTTCGCCAGAAAGCTCGAGGCGAGGATCGAGGTGCAGAGGATGGCCTGTATCGAGACAGCCCAGCGAATGCACACCGAACACAATGCGACGCTCCTCGCCGCCCAACCTGAGAGCACGATGCTGTGCCAGGTCCTCTGCTCTGGGCCCGAGTACCACAGGAAAGCCAAAAAGGCGTATACACCCGCCAAAACACAGTAGGTGACGACCAAAAGCAGTGTAGGTACGGCAAGAGGCCTCCATGGTCGAGGTTGGCCGACCTGTACCTCGGATAGGTGTGATATCGGGCTCGATTTCAAAGGTTGCTGCTCGTTGACAGTATCATTGGGCTTGTATGAGGTTGGAGCCCCGAGGGCATAGTCGGGTGTGGCCATATTCACACCGTCTGACCGTGTAAGACGGGTTGGCAAACATCCTAGAGCTCCCGGGTGACCCAAACTGGTGAATGAGGCTTTCGCGACCCGGCGGACGACCTCTAACCTGATGATAGTTGTCTATCTTTGGATCAGTTTTTCTGTCAAGACCATGGGGAACGAAACTGTTTTAAGATTGCCCGTGCCAGGAACCGCCCTGCCGCCATCATGCGTGTTCTATTCCCACTGGGGATAAGACCCTTGAGGCGCAAACTGCTCGGTTACAGATAAGGCAGACTTTAAGCGTTGTGCATTGTCTTGGGCATTGTGTATTGCTAGCCCCCCAAACCCCCTCTATGCAGCGCGCCAAACTCCAGAGTGGAAGCCAAGCTGAGTAGAAACTGCCCGCGCCTCACTTTGTTGCTGGTGTAGGGTGATGCCGCCCTATTCTCACCCTGTCCCGCGTGGGGCCCAGTAGTGAATTGCTACAGGAATGTGCTTAGTCATCTTCATGGGGACCAATAACAATGGTGATTCTCGGCCCTCAAAGTCAACTGACACGGCAGGATATAAAAGCAGCGATGCTGGAGTCTCCACTTTCAAGGTTTGGCAAGTGCAAGCCAAAGAGCCGTAGTTGGCACAAGAATTGCAATGGCCTCCTCGCTGCTTTCGCTAGCTACAGGTGTGCGAGTCCTTTTTTGCTAGCTTCCATTGTGCGAGTCCTTCACTTTTTCACTAGCTACCAGTGTGCGAGTCCTAGCGACGAATGTGCGAGTCCTCTCCCCAGCCTTTTTGAACTATCTGTTGTTCATGTCTGCCTGATCCTCATCCTAGCGCCGCCACTCAACGAGGAGGAGGTAACATCGACAGCGATGCAGGAGTCAGAATATCATCTCCAGGAGCGGCTCAACAGCATTCTGGTTTCGTTGCATCAAAGCCTGCCGTGACTGAGATTCAGTCAATTAGGGAGACTCGAGAGGGTCTTTATTTTTGGCCCCCAAAGTTCTCTATCCGAGTCTTGAGACTGTTTCGTTCCCGTGGACTAGCGTTGATAGGTGGTTCGCACTGGTACAGCTCAGCACTGTCTTTCAAGTATTCAGCTTCTGAAGTTCAGTTGATGAACAGCAAAGAGGAGTTGCATTACAAGGTAGAGTTTGGACCCCAATATTCCGGTGCTTGTAGCGTCCCTTACGAACGCCTGATAGATGCTGATGATGGATCATCTCAGTATCGACAGAATGAGGTGCAAGGTGTAGGAGCCGTGGTTGTTCCTAAGTGCTGGCTAGCCGGAAGAAGCCACCTTTCCAATCCAACCCAATGCAACTCGAACTGGGTTATAAATGTCTCTTCACAATCATGTCCACAAACTCTCCATAGGTCGTCCCCTTCTCCTTGTCGATAACCTCATCAAGATCCGGTTGCATGAAGAGTGCTAGCGTGTTCCTGGCTACTTTGCTCGCGCCGCTCGGCCCACGGACAAAATGCGGCACAGCCTTGAACTTTCCATCCGTAATCATCTGCAGGGCCTCGCCGGTCTGGAAGGCGATGCAGTTGGTGGGGATATCGACTTTCACGACCTTGTTGCCCCGTGAGCGGATGTAGAGCCCTGCCTTGGGGTCGGGAGATGCAGGCAGGATAGGCAAAGATGGAAAGGAGTGAGTTGTAAGCGGTGGCAAGGGGCTGGACTCGTCCATGTACAGTGCCGATGTCAGTGCCGTCAAACAGCCATCGTCCAGGTGGGTGGCACACCACGAGTCCTCCTCAGAGTCTGAAGGGTCCGCCGATTTGTCGGATGGGGACGATGTTGTACTGGCCGCTTCGGCAGGGGGGAAATAGTGCAGCAAACGAGCTTTGGGCGTGTGACTGGTCTTGACCACATGTTCGAGATATCCCTGCCGGTACTGTGGGATGTGCTTACTGGCGTACAGGTCGATCGCTCGGGCGACGAGCGCTCCGATGTTGATCAACATCGTGCACAGCTCTTCGAAGGTCGCTCGGAACCCTGGCATCGCAGATTCAGACGGCCACAAGTTTGTCCCTGCGCCCCTGGTGGCCGGTTTACCTGGAACAGGGACGACGGGGTTTTCCAGGAAGAATGACTGGCAGTCCACATAGTAGGATCCTTTCATGGTGTCGTACTGTCCGTCCTTGAGGGCCTCTTTGCCATGACTCCATCCGACCTCGTAATGCGATGCTGCATCGGTGAGAGCATCCAGATCCTGCTGCGGAAGTTGCGCCAGATACGATGCGTACGACAGCAGTTTCTCGCGCAGCTCCAGGTATCTGGCTGGGAGGTCGTCAACAACTAGGATTCCGAGTGAGGATTCGCCGAATGCTTCTTCGAGTGCTGTGAAGGCCACTGTCCCTTCTGCCAGCTGCTTCAGACTGACTGTCGTCGCCTTCATTGTTTTGCCTCAAACGATAGCGCTGCGATGACCTGTCCTGTCGCCTCCAATGTATACCTCGCAACTCTGCTGTCAGACTCCGCACGAATATGCAGTTTTTGAAGTCAAGATTCACACGGATGATACATGCATTCTGACCATCCTTCAGCCCCGGTCCAGACCCTGTCGCCACTTCAATAACAGCCGTACGAGATATCAGTACCTCCGAGACCGTCCTCCAGTGTGTCGGAGATGCGCGGCAGCAAAAGTCGTCTGAGTTGCGTGGCCTTTCGACGTCTGCCAGAATGACCTTCCTAGACGAGAATACACGCTAAGTGCTGACCTATTATCTCTTTATCTGGACACGAAAGCGCCATTCTGACGAGTAGCCATGACTAAAAGGGTCCTGCGATATAGTCTCGCGGACTAGATATTCACGCTACAACTACAATAGCGAGGACATTCCCATCTGTCCAGTAATTATTGCCACTCACAGGCGCGTGGAAGTTGACGTTATCTTAGCAGGATGCGGTGTCTTTCTCTTTCCATGTTCCGTGGCCGTACCAGGAGGGAGAGCGTGGGAGATGCGGCTTCGCCTCCTCCATACACAGCGTCCGAGGCTGGAGCACCGGGGATAGAGACGAAGAAGAAGAAGAGCACCCGCAAAGTCTTCTTCGGACGCATCATCCACAGCAAGTCTCTCAAGGAGGTCGAGATCCTCCACAGAGCCAGTCTGGGCATCGACGACAAAGGCACCATTCTCTTCGTGGACTCGAGCGTCGCCTCCGCCGCCGAGGCATGTGCCAAACACGCGGGCTTCGCCCACGCGGAGACGGTGACGCTGGGGCCGATGCAGTTCCTCTTCCCGGGCCTCATCGACACGCACATGCACGCGCCGCAGTACCCCAACATGGCGCTGGGCATGGAGGGCGACCTGAAGGAGTGGTGCGAGAACTGGACGGACCCGATGGAGGCGTCGTACGCCGACACGGCGAAGGCGCACCGCGTGTACCGCGAGATGGTGCAGCGGGAGCTCGAGAACGGCAGCACCACGGTCGCGTACAACTCGAGCATCCACCCGGACGCGACCAACGTGCTGGCCGACACGTGTCTGGAGTTCGGCCAGCGCGCCGTCATCGGCAAGCTGTGCATCCTCGTCGGCAGCACGCACGGGAACTGGGAGGCCAGCGCCGCGCAGAGCCTGGCCGACGAGGCCAAGGTCGTCAGGCACATCCGCCAGATCGACCCGGCGGGCGAGCTGGTGATGCCGTGCATCCAGCCTCGCGCGGGCTCGTACGTGCCGCCGGAGCTGATGGCCGGGCTGGGTGAACTGTACTCACGCGAGAGCAATAGCGATACCAACAACCCGGTCCGGGTCCAGGCGCACATGTGCGAGACGCCGCTCGAGGTGGCCAACATGCACGCCCTGCACACGGGCTTCGAGAGCTACGCCGACATGTACGACCACTACGGGCTGTTCGGCCCGCGCACGATCCTGGCGCACTGCATCCACCTGACGGAGCGGGACATGCAGGTCATGGCGGCCCGGAAGGTCGGCGTCGCCCACAACGCCAACAGCAACACCTGCCTCACCGACGGGTGGTGCCGGGTGCGCGAGCTGCTCGACCACGGCATCAAGGTCGGCCTGGGCACCGACTGCTCGGCGGGATACTCGATCTCGATCCTCAACTCGATGCGGCAGGCCAGCAACGTCTCGCGCCACCTGACCATCCACACGGGCGACCCGGGCTGGAAACTCGGCTTCGACGAGCTCGTGTACTTGGCCACCATGGGCGGCGCCGAGGTCTGCGCCCTGGACCACAAAGTCGGCAACTTCGGGGTCGGCAAGGCCTTTGACGCCCTGCTCGTCGACGTCGGCCTCGACGACGACAACATCAACACCAACGGCTTCGAGCACGACGACATGGCCCTGTTGAAGAAGTGGGTCTTTATGGGCGACGACCGGTCGATACGAAAGGTCTTTGTGGGCGGACGACTGGTCGCGGGGAAGGATCTCAAGGGTGTCACCAAGGGCGTGTCTACGCCTTGAATTTCGCAATCGAAAAGCATATGGTAAGATGAGACGAGACGAGATGACGAGATGCGAGATGCGAGATGTGTGCCAATGAGTGTATAGATTCAGTATGCACTACTACTAGTGGTAGCCAGCTAGCTAGCCAGCCAGCTACTTCGTCGGCCCCGACGCTACTTGGACGTCTGAGACGATGTAGAATTTGTAAATAGCAAAAACAAAAACCAAAAGGCGCTGTACCCCAGACCATTCCGGTCAAGTGCCCGTACCATATCGCTCAATCATAATAGTACAAGGTGAGGGTATCATATGTCATCAAAAAAATCCAACTTGTAATCATGTCGTCGTCAGTTCATTCCGAACAAGGGCCTCCTTGATGTCGGTGTACAAAGGAGGTGAACGATCCACCCGCAAAATCCCACAAACAATACGCCAGTCCATTCCGGACAAGTGCTTGTACATTAGATGGTGTTATTGTACAAGTGAGCGCTGAATTTAGAAAACCTTTTTTTTAGTCCTCGAGATTCTTGGAGCTCGGGGCAGGCTTGACATGATGCACGTCGTCGTCGAGCCTGGCCACGGTTCCGTCCAAGATTCCACCTCTC